TCTGACCCTCTTATGCACATTGTGTCATAATAATCAATCAAAATCGCTTAATTACGATAGCTGATCAGAGAAAAAGCTTAACGTAGTAACTCAAATTCAAGAATTAAAAAGAACTTTGCCCAATATCAAGGTGATTTTCGGAAATTTTAAAACGTTTTCGGAATTGCAGAAGACTCTCCCCTCTGATAATGTTAGCGATCAAATATGGAATTATTGGTTCGATTCTTAATTCATTGGGTGATGATCTTATTGATTCCTAACAACAACAGCAATATGAATTCAATCAGCAACAAGTGGTCAGTGTTAAAAAAACACCAACCACTACAACATCAATCTCAAATAACAATAACAAAAAATAGTCAAACAAACGGTCTTATTAAAAGTAGTTATAATCCTCAAAACAATTCAAGTCAACGAACTTTTATGATGAACAAGAGATTCAATAAACTTGAACACTCATGACAGACTATCTTTAGTTTTTCTTCTTTATCTTAGTTTCTGTGTATGCATACCTCTTTCGGATAATTTATATAATCCGATTTCTGAGATACTCGCAACAAACATCATTTATTGCAAAAATCAACAACTATGCGGAATTCTTCAAGATAACTCATTACATTGTGCAAAAAACGTTACTATTATGTACCTGTTGACTGTTTTTTTGATCGAAACCGATGCAATCGCTCATATGCTGGATCAAATCCTTCGTTATTGAATCCATATCTGTTCCAAAAAATTGATATCATGTCATCAAAAACTATACTTAAGTAGCAAAAGTAAAATTATACCTGTTGATAACTGCTCGATCTTCAACTAAACGAAATACTCTTGGTTTCTCGTTTCCATATTGAGCTTTCGGGGTAACTGTACCTTAAAATATAAAAAAAGAGTTAACAAACAATAATAAAAAGTTTATAAAAAGAAATTATAATTTATACCAATCTCAATAAAACCAAAACCAAATTTTGATAATCCTTCAATAGCTTCACCATTTTTATCGAAGCCAGCAGCCAAACCAATCGGTGTTTTAAATTCATGATTCCATAATTTTGTATGCTAGAGAAAAACGAGTAATAGTGAATACT